GACCTGGTACTGATCCTAGCTAACAGGTCGTCAGACTGGGACCTGGTACTGATCCTAGATAACAGGTCGTCAGACTGGGGCCTGGTACTGATCCTAGCTAACAGGTCATCAGACTGGGGCCTGGTACTGATCCTAGATAACAGGTCATCAGACTGGGGCCTGGTACTGATCCTAGCTAACAGGTCGTCAGACTGGGACCTGGTACTGATCCTAGCTAACAGGTCGTCAGACTGGGACCTGGTACTGATCCTAGATAACAGGTCATCAGACTGGGACCTGGTACTGATCCTAGATAACAGGTCATCAGACTGGGGCCTGGTACTGATCCTAGATAACAGGTCATCAGACTGGGACCTGGTACTGATCCTAGATAACAAGTCATCAGACTGGGACCTGGTACTGATCCTAGCTAACAGGTCGTCAGACTGGGACCTGGTACTGATCCTAGCTATCAGACTGGTAACTTTCTGACTTTGTAACTTTCGTCCTCGTTTTGATATGACATCACGTCCCGTCCACCAATCAGAACAAACAACTGAACTTCTACCTCTTCTGTGTCCTCATCTAACCTCCGCTGCAGCCACGCCCCTCCGTCCCCATGGTAACACTGTGAACAATTAAAGATGGGGTGTTTGTGTTTCAAACAGCTCGTTGTGACCCCTGCGGCAACAAGCTGTGTCACCATGGCGACAAATTGACTTCCTGTCGGGGAATACTAGGATGAATATGACAAAGAACAAAAAAAGAACAACACATTTTTGGGGTCTTCTTCTTCCCCTCTACTGACAACATCTATACACACAAACACACACAAACACACACACACACACACACACACACACACACACACACACACACACACACACACACACACACACACACACACACACACACACACACACACAGACAGACACGTGTGTCGGATGCTGTCGTCTCTTTGAAGAGTGAGAGTGTGAGAGTCAGCAGCAAACCACAGAGATAATGTGGGGGGAGGTGTGTGTGTGTGTGCATGTGTGCGTGTGTGTGTGTGTGTGCCTGAGGTGAGGCAGCCTGTAATCATCACCTCGACGTGTTGAAAGCAGCCTGTCCCTGATTTACATACGGGGGTGGGGGGGTGGGGGGTGTGGGGGGTTTGTGGGGAGATGAAGTACAAACTGCTCCTTTAACAAAGTAAACTGCTGACTGTTTCACACCTGCAGCATCACCGCTGTTGCCATGGATACCTGCAGGTTGATACACCCTGGTTTCAAACTGGTTCACCTGGCGGCCCATGAGTGAGCAGAGAGCTGCAGGTGTGACGGTCCTGATGATGTGGAGATGTTCAGGTGTGAAGCTGCAGCGTTCAGTTTGACATCCTCACCGCTGATTTCCCACCTAACTGTGCGCTCATAGGTGTGAACAGGTGTGAACAGGTGTTAACGGTAATAAACTGAAGTCTGTTAGAACAATAAATCACACAGTGAGACAGATTCTTAGTCTGATATTTACAAGAACAAATCTCCAAAAGGCCCCAACAGCACAAACACGGGCCCAGAGGTCAAAGGTCAGGGACTCAATTAGCTGAAGCAGCTCCCAACTGTCACTCAAAGAGGCCACGCCCCCTAATTCTACATCACTTTAAACCTTAGTATGATGTAAATAAAGTTGTCATGAAGAGAGAAAATGAGCTCCAGAGACACAAACTTTTTATTCCTGCTGTAAAGTTGGACATTTTAACATGGAGCTCTATGGGGACTGACTCACTGCAGGAGACAGACTCTAGTGGACACTGGAGGAACTGCAGATTATTTTAGCCTTTGATTCTTAAAAAAAACAAAAAAAAAACAGACAGTCAATCAGACACAAAGACAGAGAGACAGATGATTTGAATTCAGCAGATCAAACCTAAACTGTATTTTCTGCCTCTGAGTCTTTTCCCTCATTTTTAACTTTAACGCTCCATCGCCTCCAGCTCTCTATATACCCCCTCCCTCATTCATACCCCCTCTTTTCCCCCACCCTTTCTCTCTCTCTCTCCTTCTGTCATCCTAGCTCTTCCTTCTTCTGTCCTTCTCATAACCTCTCTCTTTCTTCAACTTTAAACTCTCATTTTACTTCACGACAGCCTGCAACTCTCTCTCTCTCTCTCTCTCTCTTTCAATGTCTCTCTCTCTCCCTCCCTCTCTCTATCTGTCTCCCCTTCTCTCTTCAGTTCTATGAATTATATATGAACCCCCCCCTTCCATGCTGAAGGAGGAAGTTATTATCATACAGACACATAGTCAGTGTGAGGATGTTCAGTATTACCATGGAAATGTTGAAGCGTGTGTGTGTGTGTGTGTGTGTGTGTGTGTGTGTGTGTGTGTGTGTGTGTGTGTGTGTGTGTGTGTGTGTGTGTGTGTGTGTGTGTGTGTGTGTGTGTGTGTGTGTGTGTGTGTGTGTGTGTGTGTGTGTGTGTGTGTGTCCTGAGGCCTCTCTGGGTGTATCCCAGCATGCACTGGGGCATGTTAAACAGAGTTTCAGTCTGAACTAACACGCAGCAGGAGGGAGGGCGGACCGAGCGAGCCTGAGTGGAGAGAGAGAGAGAGAGAGAGTGATGAATGGTGTTTTGTTTGAGAGGATCATGAGTGTGTTGTTAATGTGGTTGAGCCATGAGCGCCCCCTACAGGCTGCATGTTTATTGCAACACATGATAAATTATACTACATGACAATATTAGTATTAGTGACACAGTGTGACCAACTAGTAAAGTTTGTCCTGAGGGGGGCGCTGCAGGAGGAGTTAGTTTTGTCCGTCCAGAGGGGGGCGCTGCAGGAGGAGTTAGTTTTGTCCGTCCTGAGGGGGGCGCTGCAGGAGGAGTTAGTTTTGTCTGTCCTGAGGGGGGCGCTGCAGGAGGAGCATGTACAGTCTGTCCTGAGGGGGGCGCTGCAGGAGGAGTTAGTTTTGTCTGTCCTGAGGGGGGCGCTGCAGGAGGAGTTAGTTTTGTCTGTCCTGAGGGGGGCGCTGCAGGAGGAGATAGTTTTGTCTGTCCTGAGGGGGGCGCTGCAGGAGGAGCATGTGCAGTCTGTCCTGAGGGGGGCGCTGCAGGAGGAGTTAGTTTTGTCTGTCCTGAGGGGGGCGCTGCAGGAGGAGCATGTGCAGTCTGTCCTGAGGGGGGCGCTGCAGGAGGAGCATGTACAGTCTGTCCTGAAGGGGGCGCTGCAGGAGGAGTTAGTATTGTCTGTCCTGAGGGGGGCGCTGCAGGAGGAGCATGTACAGTCTGTCCTGAGGGGGGCGCTGCAGGAGGAGTTAGTTTTGTCTGTCCTGAGGGGGGCGCTGCAGGAGGAGTTAGTTTTGTCTGTCCTGAGGGGGGCGCTGCAGGAGGAGTTAGTTTTGTCTGTCCTGAGGGGGGCGCTGCAGGAGGAGCATGTGCAGTCTGTCCTGAGGGGGGCGCTGCAGGAGGAGTTAGTTTTGTCTGTCCTGAGGGGGGCGCTGCAGGAGGAGCATGTGCAGTCTGTCCTGAGGGGGGCGCTGCAGGAGGAGCATGTACAGTCTGTCCTGAAGGGGGCGCTGCAGGAGGAGTTAGTATTGTCTGTCCTGAGGGGGGCGCTGCAGGAGGAGCATGTACAGTCTGTCCTGAGGGGGGCACTGCAGGAGGAGCATGTACAGTCTGTCCTGAGGGGGGCGCTGCAGGAGGAGCATGTACAGTCTGTCCTGAAGGGGGCGCTGCAGGAGGAGCATGTACAGTCTGTCCTGAAGGGGGCGCTGCAGGAGGAGTTAGTATTGTCTGTCCTGAAGGGGGCGCTGCAGAGTCTTGCACGGGGTGTATCCTCTGCAGAGCTGAAAGAAAAAAACTGAGTCCGTCTCCAAACCGTCAGGAAACCACCCGAGGTTTGAGCCTTTCACTGCGTTGCCGTGGAAACGGATGTGTTGCCATGGTGATGTTACTACAGGCGACTACAGTTTTGACCGTCAGATGAAAAGTGTGAAGCAGAAAATATTTTATGAATAACTTCAGAGAGAGCCGGGCGAGAGAGAGCCGAGAGGAGAAAAGCAGCAGAAAAGCTGCACCTGCTCAGGTGTGTCACATGAATCATGAGGGTCCCCGGACTCTAATCTCAAACTGTCACAGACCAGGGGGTTGAACACAGTCCAGGTTTCTCACTGTGAAGAGGATTTTGATCACACAGGAATAACAAACACTCATTTTAGATGTTTCAGAGACTCTGAACTCCTCCACGGATCAGTGAAGACAGAATCAGACTTCTGGTGACCTCTGATGGTTTTAATTTAAGAACTCCTCGTTCTGTTACCTCTTGAGGTTTTCTTGTTTTTTTAACTTTTTTTTTTATTGGTGATAAGGTGAACAAAATGAAATGAAACAAGAATATATAGACATGACAACTAAAGCGAGAACAAATAAACAAAGACAAAAAATAAAAATAAATAAAACAGACAAAATAGATACAAAATAGCAAAACATGAGCAAAGATAAAGAGCAACAGTACAGACAAAATACATTTAAATGAGATGAAAGACAAGCAATGATTTTTATGTTCAGGTAGTGTGTTAGAAAGGTGTGAAATGTGTTCGTGGCAGCGTGATGCATTAAAGTGTGGAACTTAGTGGGGAGTAGCGAGAAAACAAACAAAAATATAAATAAATTAAAAACAAATTAAAAATTAGTTAGAGAAAAAAATGTATATATGCATGTAAACATTAATGGAAAGAAGATAAAATGATATAAATGTAAATAATGTGACCATCGTTGTTTTTTTTACTTTTTTTAAAACCTGACTCTTTGATGGCTCTCTCTCTCCCTCCTCCTCTCTCTCTCTCTCCCTCCTCTCTCTCTCTCTCCCCCCCTCCTCTCGCTCTCTCTCCCTCCTCCTCTCTCCCTCTCTCTCTCTCTCTCCCTCCTCCTCTCTCCCTCTCTCTCTCTCTCTCCCCCTCCTCCTCTCTCTCTCTCTCTCTCTCCCCCCTCCTCTCTCTCTCTCTGTCCTCCTCCTCTCTCTCTCTCTCCCCCTCTCTCTCTCTCTCCCCCCTCCTCTCAATCTCCTATCACAGGTAAAGGGGAGCTGCCATGTTGGCCTCCTCCATCCCTCCGTCACTCCTCCCCCTCCTCCTCCTCCTCCTCCCGCCCCCCTCCCTCCCTGCTGAATACACACGGACCTCTGACCCCCCTATGAGGAGTCTAAAGCTCCAGGGTGCTCCCCTCTCTCACTTGGTGCTGGACTCGAGGGCGGGGCATCTGTATGTGGGCGGGGTCGACCACCTGTATCAGCTCACCTCTGACCTGGAAGTGATGTCACACGTGAGGACCGGGCCTCACTTGGATTCCCCCGACTGCCTACCCCCGATCGTCCCCCAGGACTGCCCCTCGGCCACGCCCACTCACAACCACAACAAGCTGCTACTGATGGAGGCGGGGCAGGGGGCGGGGCCTGGCAGTCTGATCATTTGTGGGTCGCTCTATCAGGGGATCTGCGACAAAAGGTAACAGAGCCGTAGTCGTTTGACTGTTCAGGTGCGCTCAGTGATGATGTCAGAGAGAATAATTAAAGAGTGTCACATGACGCAGGTGTGTCCTCCACACCTCAAACACTCGCTGTGAGTTATCGATCAGTTTAACATGTAAGGATCACACGAGCCATATGCTGGCATCAGGTTAGCATGATGTTAACATCCAGTTAGCCCGAATTGGCATCCTGTTGGTCTGTATTAGCATCGTTAGCCTGTAATAGCATCCTGTTGGTCTGTATTAGCATGGTTAGCCTGTAATAGCATCCTGTTGGTCTGTATTAGCATGGTTAGCCTGTAATAGCATCCTGTTGGTCTGTATTAGCATGGTTAGCCTGTGATAGCATCCTGTTGGTCTGTATTAGCATCGTTAGCCTGTAATAGCATCCTGTTGGTCTGTATTAGCATGGTTAGCCTGTAATAGCATCCTGTTAACCTGTCTTAGCATTGTTAGCCTGTATTAGCATCCTGTTAGCCTGTATTAGCATGGTTAGCCTGTAATAGCATGGTTAGCCTGTATTAGCATGGTTAGCCTGTATTAGCATGGTTAGTCTGTATTAGCATCGTTAGCCTGTAATAGCATCCTGTTAACCTGTCTTAGCATTGTTAGCCTGTATTAGCATCCTGTTAGCCTGTATTAGCATGGTTAGCCTGTAATAGCATCCTGTTGGTCTGTATTAGCATGGTTAGCCTGTATTAGCATCGTTAGTCTGTATTTGCATCGTTAGCCTGTATTAGCATCCTGTTGGTCTGTATTAGCATCGTTAGCCTGTATTAGCATGGTTAGCCTGTATTAGCATCCTGTTGGTCTGTATTAGCATTGTTAGCCTGTATTAGCATGGTTAGCCTGTATTAGCATCCTGTTGGTCTGTATTAGCATTGTTAGTCTGTATTAGCATCATTAGCCTGTATTAGCATCGTTAGCCTGTATTAGCATTAAGCTCTGGTTCTCTCCTGCAGGAGTCTGTCTAACATCTCTCAGCTCATCTACACGACCTCTAACCCCGTCGACACGCAGTACGTTGCCGCTAACGACCCACGAGTCTCCACTGTTGCCGTGGTGATAACCACAGAAAACAAACAGGAGGGGGGCGGGGCAGGTAGCGCCCTGCGTTTGATGCTGGTTGGTCGAGGTTACACCAGCAAAGGTCCCGGTGACATCCCACCAATCACGACTCGGCGTCTCTTCCCCGTGGTCCCGCCCCGTCGAGCGTTCTCTCAGGAGGAGGAGCTCGGGAAACTGGTCGTGGGCAGCTACTCCGAGTACAACAACCACTTTGTGAAGGCCGTCTCCCACGGCAACCACGTGTACTTCCTGTTTTCTCGGCGGGACATGTGGCACAAGAAGGAGTACCGGACTTACGCGTCACGCCTCTGCATCTCCGACCGCAGCTTCTACTCGTACGTCGAGGTGCCGCTGCAGTGCGGCGCAGGCTACAACCTGGCTCAGGGGGCGTGGCTAGGAAACCACTCAGGTGAGCCCGCCCTGTTTGTAGTCATGGCAGCAGGTCAAGCGTCCACGCCTGTAGCAACGGCTCGCTCAGCGCTCTGTGTTTATGGGATGTCGGAGCTGGACGCCATGCTGAGGAGAGCGCAGGAAGTGTGTTACACCAACGGAGGACAGGGGAGCGGCGGACAGGAAGAGGCGTACATCGAGTACGCCGTGTCGTCCAAGTGTCTGAAGCTGCCCAAGGTAACACATACACACACACACAGCTCTGATCAGGCCTGTTCCCAGCATGCACTGGGGTACGGTCATCACAGGGACACAGATATCTTTTCTCTCTGAAGTAGGAACAGGAAGTCATCAGAGATGACATCATCAGCAATGATCTCGTCTTTGATCACTGATCTCTCAACAGCAGCCAAGTGGGACATCTGGTGACATCACAGCTTACATCTGATGATACCGCAGTAACTGCTGACCTTAATACTGTGTGTGTGTTTGTGTGTCTGTGTGTGTGTGTGTGTCTGTCTGTGTGTGTGTGTGTCTGTGTGTGTGTGTGTCTGTCTGTGTGTGTCTGTGTGTGTGTGTGTGTCTGTCTGTGTGTGTGTGTGTGTGTGTGTGTGTGTGTGTATTATCCTCAGCAGCTGGATTTGTCATCTGACAGCTGTCACTCAAACACACAGATGCTGCAACTGATCTGACCCATATAAAAACACACACACACACACACACACACACACACACACACACACACACACACACTAGATAGCTGCATGAAAACTGTCTAACTCTCTCTCTCTCTCTCTCTCCATCTAAGGACTCTCTCTCAGAGTACCCCTGTGGAGGGGAACACACCCCCAACCCCATTGCCAGCGCTGTGCCACTCCCCGCCACGCCCACCTTCACCTCAACCACCCAGCTGACTGCTGTCACCACGGCAACAGAGGCGGGTCACACCATTGCCTTCCTGGGAGACAGAGAGGGACGACTGCGCAAGGTGACTTAAAAAAACTCCATCAGTCCATTTAATTGTTCTAACCATCCATGTCTGAATATACAGCTATAACTGTGTGTGTGTGTGTGTGTGTGTGTGTGTGTGTGTGTGTGTGTGTGTGTTTGTTTCAGGTGTTGGTGCGTCCTGATTGGTCGGGTGATCTGTACGGCAGCGTGATGGTGGACAGCGGCAACAGTGTCAGCGCTGATCTCCTATTGGACGAGAGCCAGCAGCACGTTTATGTTTTGACCAACAGCAGGGTGAGAGAGAGACTACCTGTCTGTCTGTCTGTCTGTCTGTCTGTCTGTCTGTCTGTGTCTGTCTGTGTGTCTGTCTGTGTGTCTGTCTGTGTGTCTGTGTCTGTCTGTCTGTCTGTCTGTCTGTCTGTCTGTCTGTCTGTCTGTGTGTCTGTCTGTCTGTGTCTGTCTGTCTGTCTGTCTAACTGACATGTTTCCTGTCTCTCTCTCAGCTGTCGAAGGTTCCTGTGTCGTCCTGTGAGAGACAGACAGATTGTGGAGCCTGTCTGTCTCTCAGAGATCCGTACTGTGGCTGGTGTGTCCTGGAGGGCAGGTAGAACCTCCCAGAGTTTAAATCCTGCAGACTGAACTTCAGTGTGACTTCATTCTTTTATTTATTGTTTTTTTTCTTCTTTTTTTAGATGTTCTCGTAAACATGCGTGTCCACGTCACACGCAGCCCAACCATTGGCTCTGGAGCTTTGAACCGACCAATCAGTGTGTGACGGTGACGAGCCTGCAGCCTGCCAATCAGAGCAAAGACGAGCAGACTCAGGTGGGGTTAATCACTGATGCAGCTGCTGCCCCCTGGTGGTGCTCACACGTCACCACAGAATACAGTCACACCTCGTCAAATGATCGTTTGATGACGGCGGTTTGTCCTCCCCGCTCTCTCAATATTCTGTCTCCTTTTTGGTCGCTCAGGGCTCCTGTACTGTAACAGCAGCGGTGTATCATGTTACAGGTGCACAGGTGTGACGGCTTAGTGAGAGCACCTGGAGTTTATCTTTGTTTTTGTCAAACTAAGCCGAGCTAGGCTAAGCTAACATGCATTAGCTTAGCCTAGCTCTGCACCAGGTGACTCCAGGGAACCCGTGTGTGTAAAGAAAACAGACTCACCTGCAGTACAGGAGCTCCAGGTGAGCTGCGTGATGTCAGAGGCTTCGGAGTGGCTGATTGGACGCCTCACAGTTCCAGGTTCTGTCCTTGTTTACCTGATTGTTTCTGTTTCCGTCTCCTAGGTAACGCTGTCAGTCATTCAGCTCCCCGCCCTGACGAAGGCGGAGTCTCTGTCCTGTGTGTTTGGGCTCCTCCCACCACAACTAGCCATCGTAGTTGGGACCAGCATCACCTGTCAATCACCTGCTCCAGAGCTCCTCCCCCCTATGTCAACAGGAAGTGGTAAGCACTTCAGCATTGATCCTCTGTCGCGGTATCAAATCAGACACCGGGGTTTAATGACTTCCTGTTTCTCGTGCAGATCACATGATCCTGCCCGTGTCTTTGAGGTTTGGTCATGTGACCATCACCACAGGAAACATGACCTTCTACGATTGTGGCGCCGTGAGCCGCCTCAACCAGACCTCCCAGTAAGACCAGTGCAGTGTGATTAATGAGATTATTATAACACCATCACAGCAACATAACGGATTAATCAATGATCTATAACTGTGTGTGTGTGTGTGTGTGTGTGTGTGTGTGTGTGTGTGTGTGTGTGGTGTGTGTGTGTGTGTGGTGTGTGTGGTGTGTGTGTGTGTGTGTGTGTGTGTGTGTGTGTGTGTGTGTGTGTGTGTGTGTGTGTGTGTGTGTGTGTGTGTGTGTGTGTGTGTGTGTGTGTGTGTGTGTGTGTGAGACAGGTGTTTGGCGTGTGTCAGCAGTGTGTGGAGATGTAACTGGTGTCCTCTGGATCAAATCTGCACTCACAACCAGAGCTGCTACAACCAACACATCATCCTCAACCAGAGAGTAAGACAGCTGTCTGTCTGTCTGTCTCCCTTTCTGTCTCTAACCTGTCTGCCTGTCTCTAACCTGTCTGTCTGTCTCTAACCTGTCTGTCTGCCTGTCTCTAACCTGTCTGTCTGTCTCTACCGTGTCTGTCTCTAACCTGTCTGTCTCTACCCTCTCTGTCTCTAACCTGTCTGTCTGTCTGTCTGTCTGCCTGTCTCTAACCTGTCTGTCTGTCTGTCTCTACCCTGTCTGTCTCTAACCTGTCTGTCTCTACCCTGTCTGTCTCTAACCTGTCTGTCTGTCTGTCTCTAACCTGTCTGTCTGTCTGTCTCTAACCTGTCTGTCTCTACCTTGTCTGTCTTTAACCTGTCTGTCTCTAACCTGTCTGTCTGTCTGTCTGTCTGCCTGTCTCTAACCTGTCTGTCTGCCTGTCTCTAACCTGTCTGTCTGTCTGTCTGTCTGTCTCTAACCTGTCTGTCTCTACCCTGTCTGTCTTTAACCTGTCTGTCTGTCTGTCTCTAACCTGTCTGTCTGTCTGTCTGCCTGTCTCTAACCTGTCTGTCTGTCTGTCTCTAACCTGTCTGTCTGTCTGTCTCTAACCTGTCTGTCTCTACCCTGTCTGTGTCTAACCTGTCTGTCTCTACCCTGTCTGTCTCTAACCTGTCTGTCTCTACCCTGTCTGTCTTTAACCTGTCTGTCTCTAACCTGTCTGTCTCTGTCTGCAGGACTCTCCTGGCCTGTCTTCCTGTCCTCTGGTTTTTGCTCTGCAGAGTTCTTCCTTGGTGCCGTTGGGTCTGAGCAGCTCTGTGGTTCTTCAGGGACGCAACCTGGACGTGTTCACTGTGAGAGACACTGTTACACTCAGAGGTCACACAGAGGTCACACAGGGGTCACACAGGGGTCTCAGGGGTCACACAGAGGGCACAAAGAGATCAAGGCCGTCAAACAGAGTTCATACAGGGGTCACACAGGGGTCTCAGAAGTCACACATAGGTCAAAGAGGGGTCGCACAAAGGTCACACAGGACTCTTAGAGGTCACGCAGGGATCTTAGGGGTCAAACAGGAACCTCAGGGGTCACACAAGATTTCCAGGTGTCATACAGGAGTCACACAAGGTTCTCAGGGGTCACACAGGGGTCATGCAGGGGTCTCAGAAGGTCACATGGGCACACAGGGTTCTCAGGGATCACATAGGGGTCTCAAAGGGGTCACAGAGGGCACTCAGGGGTCACACAGGGGTCACAGAGGGCACTCAGGGGTCAAACAGGGGTCACAGAGGGTATTCAGGGGTCAAACAGGCGTCACTTTTAGTCCTGTGTTTGAAACAGAATGATTCACTTTGATTGTTTCTGAAATCATGACATCAACATATTGTGTGTGTGTACGTGTGTGTGTGTGCGTGTGTGTGTGTGCGTGTGCATGTGTGCAGGATGAAGCTCAGTATGTGTGTGTTGTAGAAGTTGAAGGAGTCCAGTTGAACTTGACGGCTGTTGTGGAAGAAGCCAACGACAACACACAAACCTTTACCTGCAGCTCACACCAGGTAACCTGTGACCATGGCTACTCTTCTGATTGGTCGAGTCCTCTTAGTGTTCAGTGTTCACATGTCAGAAAACTAGACTAACTTTTTCTTTTTGAGTCGTTACACCTCAGAGGCCACTTTAAAGAACCTGTCTGTCTGTCTGCCTGTCTGCCTGTCTGCCTGTCTGTAGTTTCAGTTTGCTGTCACTCAGCTGCAGTACTCTGCACCTGTCTACCTGCGCAGAGGAGAGCGACGCATAGACGCTGCACCTGGCCTCCGACGTAAGAACTCACCTCTCCTGTGTATTTGTGTGTGTGTGTGTGTATTTGTGTGTGTTAATGTGTGTGTGTGTTAATGTGTGTGTGTGTTAATCTCATCGGCTGGCTTTCTTCTGTGTGATTCAGTCCACCTGTATGACTGCTCAGCCGGCCAATCAGATTGCTCACAGTGCCGGGCGGTGCCACCCGAGTACGGCTGTGTGTGGTGCCCAGGAAGCTCCGCCCCCAGCTGTGTTTACAACCAATCCTGTAGCAGCGTACCTGCAGACACCTGTCCACCTCCTCTCATCACACAGGTGAGTCTGCTAAAGGTCTTATCGGTTGCCATGGAGACACATTTTTATCCGTCTGTGTAACTGTCCGTGCACCTTGTCTGTCTGTCTGCAGGTGTTACCTGTGTCCGGTCCTCTGGAGGGCGGAGTCCTGGTGACGATCACAGGATCCAACCTCGGCATGAGTTACCAGGATGTGGTGGGCGCGGTCACCGTGGCAGGTGTTCAGTGTCGGCCCGTGCACGAAGGGTACAAAATCTCCACACGGGTGGTTTGTGAGCTGCAGCCCAGCGGGAGGCAGAGGGCGGGGCCTGTCCTGGTTACCGTGGGAACGACCCCACCTGGGAAGTCTGTGCAGATCTTCACCTATCAGGTAAGGATTAAACTTGTCCCGGGTTCTCTGTTCTCCTCACCTTGAGACAGACCACAGGAAGTCTCCATTAAGGATCAGGTCCCTCTTAACAAGATCGGTCTACACCTGCTGACCTACCTGTCAGACTTCACCTATTGAATCCTTCCTTTTATTTTTTTGCCCTCCTTTTCTGGAGTTTTCTGATACCTGTGTGTCTTTAGTCTGGATCTGAAATGCAGCCGCATGACAGACAGAGGGGCGGGGCTAAGGGGGTAATGGGGCCTCTTGTCAGACTCACCTGGGACAGGTTATGAATGTGTTCAGTCAGGTTCCTCTGTGTCTCTAAGCCCCGCCCCTTTTTGTGTGAGTTTGAAAATGCAAATAAACGCTTAAGTTGGAACAACAACTCAGGAAACTGGGACAAAGGATCACATGAATCCAGAATCTAACCTCGTGATTCCCAAAGTGGGGCGCCAGGGTTATGACAGGGGGGCATAACAAAAACAATGCAGTGACTATTTTGTTGGAAAAGTTTGGGAACCACTGCCCCTAACTCCACCCCCCACCCCCCTTCTGATCCAGGACCCTCAGCTGCTGGATCTAGTTCCTGATAAAGGTCCGGTCTCCGGAGGAAGCCGATTGACCATCAGAGGGCGTCAGCTACTCACCGGATCCAGGAAGGACCTGAGCGCCTACCTGGGCCCCCAGCCCTGCTACATGTCAGTACTATAACCAAGCTGCAAAGTTTAGTGAACAGATTCATGAATCTCTGGATCCACATGATGGAAACAAAAAGAACTGAAAATTCTGATTCCTTATTTCCTCTCTCCTTGTTTCCTTGTGTCCTCTCTTTTTGTCTCATCTCCCTTTAACTCTCCTTGTCTCCTCTCTCCTTGTCTCTTTTTCTCCTCTCTTCTTGTTCTCTTGTATCCTTGTGTCCTCTGTCTTCATGTCATCTCTCTCTCTCTCTCTCATCCCTCTCCCTTTAACTCTCCTTGTCTCCTCTCTCCTTGTCTCTTTTTCTCCTGTCTTCTCATTCTCTTGTCTCCTCTCTCCTTGTATCCTTGTGTCCTCTCTCTTCGTCTCATCTCTCTCTCTCTCTCTCTCTCATCCCTCTCCCTTTAACGCTCCTTGTCTCCTCTATCCTTTTTTTTATTGTGTCCTCTCTCCCTGTTATCTTGTGTCCTCTTTTCTTGTTCCCTTGTCTCCTCTCTCTTTGTCTCTTTTTTCTCCTCTCTCTTTGTCCCCTTGTCTCCTGTGTCCTCAGTGTGGAGGAGGTCAATGACACCCAGTTGGTGTGTCAGACTGGTTCCATTAATCAGACGGGGGGTGTTCCGGTCCGCGTGTTTTTCGGGAAGGCCGAGAGAACAGTTCCAGGCGTTTCCTTCCGTTACCTTGACGACCCCGTCATCACGGACGTCACGCCAGCAGAGAGCTTCTACGCGTAAGAACCCGATCACCGATGATCAAACGTCTCATAACTGAAGTCAGTCTACTAATAAAGCGACCACTTCCTGTCCTCAGAGGCGGGCGAGTTGTCATGGTGACGGGCAGGAACCTGGACGTGGTGCAGAAGCCAATCATAGCGGTGTGGGTGGAGCCTGTGGACGTCCAGAGGGTGAGACGGAGGAGACGATTGGCTCTGCTCAAGGCCAGGCAGCAGCTGGTCTTCAACAGCACCATGACAACGGTGAGACAACCAGCCAATCAGAGAGCAGCTTCTCACTGTGTCCTTCACGGCCTCTATCACCCTGCTGTCCAAATATCTGTCTTAAAAGTGCCTGTCTCTCTCCCCACCTGTCTCTCTCTCCCCACCTGTCTCTCTGTCAGGTGTTGGAGCACTGCAAAGTCCAGTCTCCCTCTGAGATGAGCTGTCTCACCCCCACGGTGTCTCCTGAGGTCAAAGTGAAGGGTGTCTGGTTTCAGCTGGACAACGTCAGAGTACACTACGAGAGCATCAAGGTACCTGTCTGTCTCTCCACCTGTCTGTCTCTAGCTATGTTTACATGGAGACTGATAATCGGAACCTGACAAACTTTAGATGTTTAAGCTGCATGTATAGAAACCCAACAGCCAATCACAGAGCAGAAACAGAGACCTCAGCCTATCAGGTCAATTTGATGTTAGCATGTTAGCATGTTAGCATATCTCCCTGAAAGAAGTGAAAACACATCTGCTGACGGAGAATCCTGTCTGTCCCTCATCCTGTCTGTCTCTCTTCCTGTCTGTCTCTCTTCCTGTCTGTCCCTCTTCCTGTCTGTCTCTCTTCCTGTCTGTCCCTCTTCCTGTCTGTCCCTCTTCCTGTCTGTCCCTCTTCCTGTCTGTCCCTCTTCCTGTCTGATCCTCTTCCTGTCTGTCTATCTTCCTGTCTGTCCCTCTTCCTGTCTGTCTCTCTTCCTGTCTGTCCCTCTTCCTGTCTGTCCCTCTTCCTGTCTGATCCTCTTCCTGTCTGTCCATCTTCCTGTCTGTCCCTCTTCCTGTCTGTCTCTCTTCCTGTCTGTCCCTCTTCCTGTCTGTCCCTCTTCCTGTCTGTCCCTCTTCCTGTCTGTCCATCTTCCTGTCGGTCCTGTCTGTCCCTCTTCCTGTCTGTCCCTCTTCCTGTCTGTCTCTCTTCCTGTCTGTCCCTCTTCCTGTCTGTCTCTCTTTCTGTCTGTCTCTCTTTCTGTCTGTCTCTCTTCCTGTCTGTCTCTCTTCCTGTCTGTCCCTGTCTGTCCATCTTCCTGTCTGTCCCTCTTCCTGTCTGTCTCTCTTCCTGTCTGTCCCTCTTCCTGTCTGTCTCTCTTCCTGTCTGTCTCTCTTTCTGTCTGTCTCTCTTCCTGTCTGTCCATCTTCCTGTCGGTCCCTGTCTGTCCCTCTTCCTGTCTATCCCTCTTCCTGTCTGTCTCTCTTCCTGTCTGTCCCTCTTCCTGTCTGTCCCTTTTCCTGTCTGTCCCTCTTCCTGTCTGTCCCTCTTCCTGTCTGTCCCTCTTCCTGTCTGTCCCTCTTCCTGTCTGTCCCTGTCTGTCCCTCTTCCTGTCTGTCCCTCTTCCTGTCTGTCTCTCTTTCTGTCTGTCCCTCTTCCTGTCTGTCCATCTTCCTGTCGGTCCCTGTCTGTCCCTCTTCCTGTCTGTCCCTCTTCCTGTCTGTCCCTGTCTGTCCCTCTTCCTGTCTGTCCCTCTTCCTGTCTGTCTCTCTTTCTGTCTGTCCCTCTTCCTGTCTGTCCATCTTCCTGTCGGTCCCTGTCTGTCCCTCTTCCTGTCTGTCCCTCTTCCTGTCTGTCCCTCTTCCTGTCTGTCTCTCTTCGTGTCTGTCTCTCTTCCTGTCTGTCTCTCAGGGTAAGAGGTTCACGTATTATCCGAACCCGGAGTTTTTCCCTCTGAATCGTGAAGCTCCAGATTCTCCGTATCGTTTCAAACCTGGAGGCGTGATCGCTGTGGAGGTAAAAACACTTTAAACCACTTGAAACCAGGCCAAACCAGTTTAAACCGGTTTAGACCGACAGAGTGGAACCTGTCTCTCTCTCTCTCTCTCAGGGTCAGGACCTGATCAGAGCCATCTCCAGACAGGAAGTGACGGCTCGTCTGGGGGATCAGGAGTGTGAGGTGAAGACTCTGGACAACACTCACCTGTACTGCGAACCTCCAGAGAGCCAACCGCTGAGCGTGGACGACAGCGAGCTGCCCAGCCTCAAGGTCGAACAAACGACACACAAAAATGAATTCAAACATCTTCTCAGATCCTCTGAACTCCCATAATGCACCTGGAGAATCAAACATGAAAAATCCTGAAGATGAAGAGCTTTCTGATTTAGTCGATCAAATATCAAGCTGTCTCTCTCTCTGTGCCCGTCTGTCTGTCTCTCTGTGCCCGTCTGTCTCTCTCTCAGGTGTTCATGGGGAACCTGCAGGTGGATCTGGGATTGGTCCAGTACGACAGTGACTCTCTGATTTCTCCCGTCCCATTGACTGCTCAGATCGGTTTGGGGGCGGGAGCAGCTGTCATCATCCTGTCAGTGCTGGTCGTCATCCTGATGTACAGGTAGGTACCTGTCTGTCTCCTCCTGTCTGTCTCCTCCTGTCTGTCTGCCTCCCTATTGAAGCCCTTATTAAACTCTTCAATAAATAAAAAATCTCTGTTTGCACTGGTGTGTGTGTGTGTGTGTGTGTGTGTGTGTGTGTGTGTGTGTGTGTGTGTGTGTGTGTGTGTGTGTGTGTGTGTGTGTGTGTGTGTGTGTGTGTGTGTGTGTGTGTGTGTGTGTGTGTGTGTGTGTGTGTGTGTGTGTGTGTGTGTGTGTGTGTGTGTGTGTGTGTGTGTGTGTGTGTGTAGGAGGAAGAGTAAACAGGCTCTTAGAGATTATAAGAAGGTTTTGCTGCAGTTGGAAACTCTGGAGATCAACGTGGGAGATCAATGCCGCAAAGAGTTCACAGGTAAACACACAAACACACTCGTGTATTATTAACCCTCACAGACGGTTCAGGGACCTGTCAGCCACCCGGTGCTGCGCCTCACACAGGTCTCCTGTCGCTGCTGGTTTCAGATCAACGAAGTTGTCATTCCACGTTCAGCACTGTCGTTTAACTGTGAAATGTACCTACACGCTCACCTGTGCACCTGGGGGGGCATGTTGGTCTTTAAAGTCTTTCTATGTGATTTTTCACACTTAAATATATAAATCCAGTATCTCCTCTGAAAATAACTCTGAGTCATAACTGTCTACAATGGGTGTAACACCCGAGTCCCACTGTCTGTGATGTTTTCAGAGTTTTCAGAGTCCTATCTTCACTTTGTTTACATCGCCAGGACGGCCGGCTGACTCCTCCCCTCGTGTATAAAAGTTGTTTAATTGAGGGACTAGAGAAAAGAAGAATAACATACTGTACTCACTGCTTAACTGTGTTTCTAGATCACGCTCATTTCAGGTAAATTTACATGCAGTGTGAAGATACCAGCATAATAAAGATCGCTAGCATTAGCATGCTAACACAACAATGCAGCAAGAGTTGTTTTGGTTTCATGCTGGATCAAAAAATCACATATAAAGCCTTTAAATGTGGTCTGTTGAGGTGCAATGCAGCAGAAAAAACAGCTCAAACAAAGAGCAGGTCTGAAGCATGTAGAGCAGGATTCTCCAGATTTCTAACTGACACTGATACATCAACACTTTGAGAGAACAGCTGATCACTGGCAGGTTTTCCTGAAGATCCAAAATGCAGCACAAAGCAGTTCTTAGCTGAAGTTGTTACCTGTACAGCAGGTAGCTCCTCCCACACAGCTGAACAAGTCTTCTTCTTCGTCTACCTTTGCAGACCTGATGACGGAGATGATGGACCTGAGCAGTGATGTCGGAGGACCAGGGCTCCCCCTGCTGGACTACAAGACATACGCAGAGAGAGTCTTCTTTCCTGGTCAGCAGGTGGCGCCGCTGAGCCGCCAGCTGGACCTGCCAGAGTCCAGGAGGCAGACTGTGGAGCAGGGCCTTCAGCAGCTCAACAACCTGCTCAACAACAGACTCTTCCTGACCCGGGTAAGTTCTGTGAGGGGGGTGGGAGGCGGTGCGGGGTTGATCGGGTCGCAGATCAGGACTCACCTGATTAAAACCAGGGATCTGAGGTTCTGAGGGTCATGATTCACCTGGTCCTGGTCTAGGTGTAGGACTCAACTGGACATGCAGGTGATTGTTTGTGGTCTCTGTCCTCAGTTCATCCACACTCTGGAGGCTCAGCAGGGGTTCTCTCAGAGGGACCGAGGTTACGTGGCCAGCCTGCTCACCATAGCCTTGCACGACAAACTTGAGTACTTCACTGAGGTCATGAAGAGTCTCCTGCAGGACCTGGTCCAGCAGTACGTCGCCAAGAACCCCAAACTCATGCTGCGCCGGTGAGTAAAACAAACACACACTCTTGAGTCAGCTGCAGTTTAAACCTGCTGAAAGACGTCCAAGTGTAGACCTGCCCCCTTTAGAGAGTCCAGGCTCTGAGGTACTAGTCTGCAGAGGCAAACTGGATCACTCTTCAGGTCCGAGGAAGTACCTGGTTTTTAGTAATTCGTCCCCACATTGCCCCGCACAGACAAACTCTTTGTCCCGCATTCAGCCTGTTGGTCACCAGGTGTGAGATAGAGAGAGGGGGCCCTCTGGTGGACAGCTGGAGAACTGCACACGACCTTAGGAGAAATAATGTGAGGGAGGGAGACAGACCATGACAAAGGGAGCATGCTACTAACATACCTGTCTGTCTCTCTACCTGTCTGTCTGTGTTTCAGGACAGAGACGGTGGTAGAGAAGATGTTGACCAACTGGATGTCGATCTGCCTCTACTCCTTTCTGAAGGTAAAATTCTGTCTGTCCATCTTCCTGTCTGTCTGTCTGTAGGAAACTTATCCTGTTTGTTCACCCTGTCTCACTCTCCCCTGTCTGTCTGTCTGTGTGTGTGTCTGTGTGTCAGGAAGTGGCAGGGGAGCCTCTCTACATGCTCTACAGAGCCATAAAGTATCAGGTGGATAAAGGGCCCGTGGACGCCGTGACGGGCAAAGCCAAACGAACTCTGAACGACAGTCACCTGCTGCGAGAGGACATCGACTACAGCGCCGTGGTAACCATAGCAACACACACACACACACACACACACACACACACACACACACACACACACATTTCACCTTTACAAAGTGTCCTGATTTCACACACAGAAGATGCTGACATCAAGTCCTCAGGACACCTCTCTGACCTCTGTACCTGTCTCTCTCTCTCTCTGTACCTGTCTCTCTCTCTAAACTTACCTGTCTCTCTCTCTCTCTCTGTACCTGTCTCTCTCTCAGAATCTGACAGTGTTGGTGAAGAATGGAGTCGAGGTTCAACCGTGTCCTGTGAAGGTGCTCGACACAGACACGATCACACAGGTAAGTCTGTCTGTCTGTCTGTCTGTCTGTCTGTCTGTCTGTCTGTCTGACTCTCAGAATAATTACAACCTGTCTGCCTGTCTGTCTGACTGTCTGTCTGTCTGTCTGTCTGTCTGTCTGACTGACTCTCAGAATAATTACAACCTGTCTGTCTGACTGCCTGTCTGCCTGACTCAGAATAATAACCACCTGTCTGTCTGTGTGCAGGTGAAGGATAAGATCATGGATCAGGTCTACAGAGGAGCCCCGTTTTCTCAAAGACCAGCAGCAGACAGTCTGGACCTGGGTAATACTTTTACTACTGCTACTAATAATAATATTATATTTTATTTATAACGCTCTATACGGTGGTTAAAACAAGTCTGAAAGTGCTCCAAATATAAAACCAGTAGTGGCGCCCCCTGGTGGCAGAGAATAGAGCTCCATAGGTATGGAGTAGAGCAGAGAATAACCAGAGAGGGACGGAGTCCAACAAAATACAGAACCATTATTTACTACTGATGATTTGTGGTGTAGAAGAGCTGCTTGGAGTTACCATGGTAACGATGATGTTGGACCATGGGTGCTTAAAGCACTGACTTTATTTAACTGGGCTGTGGGGGTACACTAACACGTCTCACCTGTCCGGTTTGATTGACAGCTTTCTCACCTGTGTTTTCTGTGTTTTACTGACAGAGTGGCGTTCAGGCCAGGCGGGTCACCTGACCCTCTCGGATGATGATGTCACAGCAGTGGTTCAAGGTCGCTGGAAACGACTGAACACTCTGCAGCACTACAAGGTAACGAGGCGACCGACCAATCAGAGCTTAGCTTAGTTTCTTCTTCTCTTTGTTATATTCTGTTTGATTCAATTCTCAAACTGTGGCTCGTCGTTCAGGTTCCAGACGGAGCCACGGTCGCTCTGATTCCTCGTTCTCAGAGCTCAGGTGGAGTCGGGGTCAACCAGGTGTTCCAGACCGGAGAGAGTAAGAACCGCACTATAGCTGGGGGGGGGGGGCTTATTGATTTGCTTAATGAAATAATGTAAAACATTTTTTGTGCTATGTTATGAGTGTATGAAAAGTGCGATACAAAAAATAGTTTGACCCGGACATTTAGCGAGACTGATGGGCGGAGTATGTGTTTGGTTTCCATAGAAACGCCGATGCTGGAGGGCGAGGAGGAGGAGGGTCTGCGCCTGTGGCACCTGGTGAAGAGCAGCGAAGATCCTGAGATCCCCAAACACAGAAAGAGCAGCATGAGGGAGAGAGAGAGGGCCAAGGCCATACCTGAGATCTA